CCGCAGTGCTGGCTTGCTCGTTGCAGAGGGCCCTCCTTCGGCCCTTGTTGAAGCAGACTTTCTCGGGGCTTCTGCGGGCGACCCGCGCTTGCTCGAGTTGTTGAAGCTGCAGAGCACGCGTGTTCAAAGCTGCGAACCAAGCAACTTTCTTTCCCATCGGGTCATGCTTACCATGGGGCCGAAGGCTTGGGAGCAGCGGGCCAAAGACGTTGGCGCCAAGGCGCTGGCCTTGACCATAGCCCGCAAAAGGGGGGTACGATCGAATACGACGCTCTGGAGTCGCGCTCCCGCTGGAGACTTGCTTGCACATGTTTCAAGAAGCGCGCTCTTGCGTTGGAATTCCCAACAATTTACGAAAGCGCCGCGCCCCCGACATTCAGGCACCCAGGAGTCGCGCTCACGCTTAGGACTCCCTCACGGCTCACTTAGGCATCGGGATCTCGTTGCCCTTCGTGGCCCCGTTCCAGCCCTTTGTGGCCCCCTCGCTGCCTTTCGTGGCCCCGTTGCGCCCCTTCGTTGTCCCCTCGCTGCCCTTCGTGGCCCCAGTGCAGCCCATCGTGGCCCCCTCGTTGCCTTTCGTGGCCCCGTTGCAGCCCATCGTGGCCCCCCCCCGCTGCCCTTCGTGGTCCCGTTACAGCCCTTCGTGGCCCCTCGCCGCCCTTCGTGGTCCCGTTGCACCCCTTCGTGCCCCCCTCGCTGCCTTTCGTGGCCCCGTTGCACCCGTTCGATGCCCCCTTGCTGCCTTCGTGGCCCCAGTGCAGCCCTTCGTGGCCCTCTCGCTGCCTTTCGTGGCCCCATATATGCATGCCCTTCGTGGTCCCTGCTCGTTCGCGCCCGTCGTGGCCCCATATGCACGCGCTTTGTGTCCCCGCTGTCGCCTTTCGTGGCCCCCTCGCTGCCCTTCGTGGCCCCGTTGCTGCCCTCAGTGGCCCTGTCCTTGCCCCCTGCGGCCCAATATGCGCATGTCCTTCGGGGCCCCCGCTCGTTCGCGCCCGTCGTGGCCCCATGTGCATGCCCTTCGTGGCCCCGCTGTCGCCCTTTGTGGCCCCATCGTTGCCTCCTGTGGTCCCGCATTATCTGCCCTTCGTGGCGCCCGTTCGTTCGCGCCCTTTGTGGCCCCATACGCATGCCCTTCGTGACCCCGCTGTCGCCCTTTGTTGCCCGCTTCATGTCCTTCTTGGCCCCGCTGTCGCTCTCGCTCTCGCTCTCGCTTTCGGTTGTCGTCGTCGTCGTCGCCGTCGCTGTTGCTGTCGCCGTCGCCGTCGCCGTCGCCGTCGCCGTCGTCGTCGTCGTCGTCGTCGTCGTCGTCGTCGTCGTCGTCGTCGTCGTCGTCGTGGTCGGTTCCCTGTCCCCCCCTCTTGGGTCGGGTTGCCGCCCGATCAGCGGTGCCGCTGGCCAGGCCGACGGTCCGCGGCCGCCCCGCCGCTTGCCGGGGCCCGGCCAGCAGGGAAGAAATGTATACCACCCACGAGGGGTACAGCCAAAACGCCGAAATAAGGAACGCCTCGGGTGCGGAAGGGGTTCGCTGTTCCTGAAGCTCTTCCATGGTTCCTCCTCCATCACTCCTCGTGCACCTAGGCGCTTTTGGGGCCAAAATAGGGGTTCGTTCCTTATTTAGCGTCCCTTCTGATAGTACTTCGACTGTACGATCGATTACGAAAAGTGCGGGTACTGAGGTTTGGGAAATTTGCGTTGGACGACACCCAGGCAGATGAGAACGAACAGTCTTAAAACGATGGTTGTTGTTGTTGTTGTTGTTTTTGTTTGTGTTGTTGTTGTTGTTGTTGTTGTTGATGTTGTTGTTGTTGTTGTTGTTGTTGTTGTTGTTGTGGTTGTGGTTGTGGTTGTGATTGTTATTGTTGATGTTGTTGTTGTGCTCTCATTTCAGAAGAATCATTACTGTTGATCCCCCTCACTGGTGCATACGGTTTTTCTCAATCAAAGTGTGCCCCTCGACGCTCGCACCCTGTTTTTTGACAGGGGAAGTCTTCGTGCTCAATCTGTGCCGCTGGCCCCCCTGATTACAACAACAACGGCTCCCGGCTGAGACGTCCTGCGAATTTGCTCAATATCTCCGCCCCTGAGACTTGCTCACAATTTACTCAGGATCGGCGTTCCCGCCTGTGACTCGTTCGCAATTTAGTCAGGACCCCCGCTCCCGTCTAAGACTTCCTCACAATTTACTCGGGAACGGCGCTCCCGCTTGAGACCTCCTCGAAATATTGCCAAGACTTCTTCGCAATTTAATCAAGACCCCCGCTTCCGCCAGAGAGCCCTTTACATGTTATTCGGGAATTGCGCTCTCGCCCGAGTCTTCCGTGCATTTCATTCAACAATCACGCTTTCTCGCCCGTCGTGGGCTCCCGCCCGAGACTTCCTTCGGTAACGGCGCTTTCGCCTAGAACTTCCTCGACCGTTCATGCTGTTACCTTCATGCTCCTCCTCCCTCTCCCTCCTCCCTCCTCCCTCCTCCTCTCCCTTCTCTCTCCCCCCTGTCTTCCCTCATCCTTTACCCCTCTGCCCTATCCCCTCTCCCTCCTCTCCCTCCTCCCTTCTCCCTCTCCTCTCCTGCCTCCTCCCTCCCTCTTTTTGTTTCCCCCTCTCTCTCTCTCTCTCCCCTCTCTTTCTCTCTTGCTCTACCTCTCTTACCAGTCTTTTTGGTTTCTCTCTTTCCCTCTGTGTGCCTCTAATCAACCATCCCCTTTTTCGCTCCTTCTCTCCTGGCGTTTTCCCTCTTTCTTCGTCCCCCCCTTCCTCCCACCCTCCCTCGTTCTCCCCCTCCTCTTTTTGCAGGGCCCTCACCAATTCCAATGGCGGGCACATGTACGCCCAAGAAAGATTGTCCGCCCGTTCAGGTTTGCACGCCTGTCTAAGCCCGCCGCCCCACGCAAAGAGAAATAATCCCCCCAAACGGGGTGTGATTGAAGACAAATTGGGCGGGTATCGAGGGTGTGGGGAAATCGTTTTGAATGACACACGGGCAAGTAAGAGCGAACAGTCTTATACTTGTTGTTGTTGTTGTTGTTGTTGTGGTTGTCGTTGTCGTTGTCGTTGTCGTTGTCGTTGTCGTTGTTGTTGTCGTTGTTGTTGTTGTTGTTGTTGTTGTTGTTGAGTTTTCATTTCTACAATCATTAGATTTAGCCCCCCCCGGGGCACATTGAAGCGCCCTTCTCAGGGCTCGCACTCAGTTTTTTAATCGGGGACGGTCTTGGACATCATAATTGGTTTAATGGCGCCAGTTTACAGCAAAAGCCGGCTGATACTTCACAATGAATTTCCACATCGCGCTCTCGCGCGGTACTTCCTCCTCAAAAATTATGCAGGGATCGCGCTCTCGCGTGGGACCTCATGACAATTTATTCAGACGCCGCGCCGTCGACACTCGGGAATCACGCTCTCGCGGTTGATCTTCTCACGATTCATGTGGGGGTCGCGCTGTCACCCGAAATTTTCCCCCGATTCATGCAGTACGCACTTTTCATCAACCTGCCTGCTCGCCCTGGCCGCGTGGGCCCGCTTTCCCGACCCGCTTGTTAAGGTCTATCCGCCCGTTGTGCCCGTCCGGTTCTGCCACGTGCTTTCTGCTCCTAGCCCCCCCTGCTATTCTCTCTCGTGCTCCATCCTGCTCCTTCCCCCGTTGTCCCTTCCTTCCATCGGTCTTCTCTTCCCCTGCCTCAGCGGCTGCACGAAATACACGTTGCAGGTAAAAAGGGATATATACCCCCAAGGGGGTGCGATCGAAGACGACGAGGGCGGGTATCGATGTCTGGGGATATACGTGTTGAGTGGCCCGCGAGCAGATAATATCGAACAGTCTTAACATGATTGGTGTTGTTGTTAATGATGTTGTTGTTGTTGCTGATGCTGTTGTTGTTGTTGTTGTTGTTGTTGTCGCCGCCGCCGCCGCCGTTGTTGTTGTTGTTGTTGTTGTTGATGTTGATGTTGTTGTTGTGGTTGTGGTTGTGGTTGTTGTTGTTGTTGTTGTTGTTGTTGTTTTTTTGTTGTTGTTGTTGTTGTTGTTGTTGTTGTTGTTGTTGTTGTTGTTGTTGTTGCTGCTGCTGTTGTTGTTGTTGTTGAACCTCGTGCTTCAATAATGATATTACTGTTTCCCGCTGCCGGATGACCACTGTGTTTTTCAATGAAAGTGCTCCTCCCGGGGCTTGCGCCTGTTTTTTTGCAAGGGAAAGTTTGAGGCCACCAAACTGGGCCCTAGGTTCCCGAGTTAACCCCAGGCTGTGCCCAATATGTTGCCTAACCCCGCGCATGTGTGCTTTTCCAGTATTGCTGACCCTAGCTGCCAGATGCAGCTAGCGATCTGTTTTAATATATGGGCTCTCTCGTACCCAGAATTTATTTGCAATTGTCGACTTGGCCTCGCCACAGCGCTTCCCTGCCTTTTTCCTCCTCGCCCTCGTCTTCCTGGTCCCTCTCCGTCCTCCTTCCTCGTCCTCCTCTTACACTCCCTTCTCGCCCTCCTGCTCTGCTCTTCCTTCTCGTGGAGCACCCCCCCGTTCGAAGGGGTGGGGGCGTGCAGACATGATATGACTGCGGCAGCCATATGGCAGCACCGATCCTAGCCGGGCCGATCCTGGTCCCAGGATCGCTGCTTTGGCCTTCCTGGCCAGAACAGAAGGGCGCGTACGCACTTTCGGGCGTCTCCAGGGTATGTGTAGGCGCAGGCCCCTGTCGATAGACCTTCAACGGCATCATCGTGTGCCCACTTTGGCGTTGGAGCAGGAGGAGGAGGAGGAGGAGGCATCGCTCACTCGGCACGAGGGGCACCGCGCGTCAGGCTTTGCGCTAGGACAGCTTGGCAACCAGCGTTTGCGTACGCTTGCGCCGCAATCTGTGGTGTCCAGTTCTTGTGTCCCTTTGCAGGGTCAAGGTGACCAAAGTACGGAGCACTTCGTGCTTGGAGGGGGTGTTCTGTTCCCTTGGTGCTTCCATGGTTGTATCTCTACTGCTTCCTCACCGTGTGCTGTCTACGACCCCCGTCTCAGGTGGAGAGGCCTGGCAAGCTTTCAGGGTGCCCTTGGCAACGAAGAGTTTGCACTGCAAGGCTCACCTTCCAGGACAGGGATGGGATGATGATGATGAGGAGGAGGAGGAGGAGGAAAAGGAGGAGGAGGAGGAGGAGGAGGAGGAGGAGGAGGAGTGGGAGGAGGGCGAGGAGGAGGCGGAAGGACAGGTCGAGAGGAAGGGCGTTGGGGCGCGACGGGGAGGAAGGGAGGAAGAGGGACAACGGGAGGGATCCTCATGGGAGCAGAAGGGCCACCACGCGCCAACATGATATTCGAGTGAGCATTGTCGATCGGCTACAGCCGAAGCGCATACTAATGATGATTGACTTTCCAAGGTGAACCTTGCATCCTTCCACTTCGGCCCATCCTTGGTCACTTTCGCTGGCCGCGCCCCGCTCGAACAGTGTCGAGATGGTCTTCCAGGGCCATTGCGTCGTCATCGTGAATCCTTGGTATATGCGATGCCTGTGTATTTTAAAGGTGGTGATGGTGGCAACAATCAGGACTGCTGCACGCCAGATTCTGACGCGACGCCTCTTGAAATCGCGGCAGAGGTGGGGCCAGCAAACGGACGACGACGTTCCCGATGAGGCCTAACGCACGTTCCAAATCATCGTCATCTTCTGTTTCGCCGGCGTGATCGAATAACCCTCAAGAGCGGGTTCTTATGAGGTTTGAACACAGGTTCGTCGATGTTTCAAGGTCCAGTACACTTTCGAGCTTGCATAGCCTAAAGCAGTAAGCGCTGTCGGACTTTTGATCCAAGTGGTTTACGCCATTCCGCCGGCCCCCACAAGGAGTGTGTGTGTGTGTGTTTGATACAATCGTGGAAGTTCTGTATTGGGTCAGGAGGCTCTTGAATTCATATGAGGGTCTCTCGGGATGCCTCTCGGGGGCCTCTTGGAGAACTCTTGGGGGCATCTGGCAGGCTTTCTGGGACCTCGTGGGGGCTTTGGGGGGCGTCTTGGAGGCCTCTTGAGGCCTCTTGGAGAGGCCTCTGGGGCGCTCGAGGGGCCATCTTAGTGGAAAAAGCTCGAAATGTCAGTTCGTATTCCCCCTCTTGGGTTTTCTTGGAGGGGTTCTCTGGGGGCTGTCTTGGACCGTCTTGGGGGACTCCTGGGGCTGTCTTTGGGCCCTCTCGGGCCGTCTTGGGGCCTTCTTGGAGGCTTCATGGGCCGTCTTGGGACGATCTTGGGGGTCAGTTGGGCCGTCGTGTTCATTGTCAAGACGTTGAAGTGCGAATGTGCTGAAAACGTATGGTTTTCCAAGGGAATGGGCTGATTTGTCCTCTTGAGCCCTCTCGGCGATCCTCTGGGGCCGCTTTTGGGCTGTCTTGGAGATCTTCTTGGGGCTACCCTGTGCCGTCATGACGCTCCTTGACTGTCTTGGCGCTCTGTCTGGGCCCTGTTGGGTTGTCTTGGGGCTTTCTGGGGACTCCGGAGGCCTGGGATGTGCGTTGACGAGCTCGTGCCCCCCCCTCCCAGAATGGCATCTTGGACCCCAGGGGAGGGGGAAAGGGGGAGGGGGACAAATGTCTCACACGCCTGGTCACCCCTGGCAAGCGGGGGTCGGCGGATTTTGGGGTACTCCACAGCTGCGTCTTGGAGTGGCCGTCGTCGCCGCCGCCGCTGTCGTCGTCGTCGTCGTCGTCGTCGTCGTCGTTGCTTGCCGGTGGCGAGGAGGTGGGGTCCGACCTCCCCCAGATTTTTTCAGGAAGGGGGGTGGAGGGGATTCGGACTTCACCCCCCCTGCCGAACTTTCGGAAGCGGGAGGGGGGGCGGTGGGGATTCGGAACCCACCCCCCCTCCGCAATTTTCGGAAGCGTGAGGAGGGGCGGAGGGGGGAGGGATTCTCGCTCGGGAGGGGAGAGGAGGGGGTGGGTTGGCGGCGGTGCTGGAGAGGAGGGGGGGAGGATTTTTTGAAGGGGGCGGGGGCGGTTCCAGAGCGGGGGAGGCTGGGAAATGGCCACCATGTTGGCCGCCCCTTTCCAAGCTGGCCTCGTCTGGCCTACTGACTGTATGCTCCCAGGCTCTCGTGCGACTTGTTGGATGATCGTTGCAGGTTGGCAGACACCAGGTTGACAACGTATGCACGCGCACCCACCTTGCCATGTCATTACTACATAAGCCATGCGTGGCCATGACAAACTCTGCGAGGGCAGCGCGTCTACATTCGCTCATCCCATGTGTTCTGTGATCGTGTACGTACGACGTATCTGCCTCTCTATGTGCTCTGATGGACAGCACATTTGCTCTGGAGGGTGGTCCCTAGGAGGGCAATCATCTACCGCTTCATGTTGGCGCATATGTCGAGCGACCAGAAGTTCAACGTGTGCGCGCAGATCGTAGGGGCCTCAGCACGGACCCCTGCTAACGCCATTCGTAGGACCCTCTTGGTTTTTTATGTCTCTCACTGCGAGTTCTTCAAAATTCACTGTTCTCGACTCCCCTGGCTGGCTCGCTCATGACTCCACTGTTCCCTCTTTGGCGCTCGCGTGAGATGCCATCTGTGCCTCCAGCCTGCGCCTTCACTGTGCACCACCAGCGTTCGTCTTCAGTGACGCTGCGGCCCACATTCGGCTCTCCGCGTATGCGCTGACCAACACATCTTTCCGTCGGTGACGAGGCACAGGCGGTCCGGACCAGCGTATGGCAATTTGGGGCAACCGAATGGCTAAGTGGCTGGCATGCAAGAGATGGACAAGAGTGAGAGCGGCCGCGTGGGGGGAGGGGGAGGAATGAGCGCTCAGACGTGGAAGAGTTCCACGTTCTGACCAACACAGTCAAGACGCTGTAATAATCAGGCAATCGCAAACATGCATCAAGGGGGCGTGGATGAGCGACGGGTCCCGTTTCCATGGGAAGTCGCGGGTTTCCGCCGCGAGCGAGGCGGCATTGGCCGCATTTTGGGGAGGGCACCTCCCCCGATCCACGGATTTGGCGACCGCGCGCCAAATCCATGGATCGCTAATCCATGGTTGCGCGCCCCCGAGAGGAGGGCGCGGGTTTTCGGGCCGTTCTTTTTCGATGCCGCACGGGCAGCCGCTTCGTGGCCCATGCTCGCCAGGGCCGGAAGAGCTGATGCGCTGCTTGTTCGGAGTCAGTGGAGACCCCTGCCAAGAAGCACCCTGCTTGCCTCCAGGGTGCCCTGAATTCCTCGGGTTTCGATGGTTTTGCCGTGGAAAGCGCGACGTGCCCACACCAAAAGTCCGTGGACGCCCTGGGCTCTCCGGGTTGGGTTTCTTGTGGAAGGTTTCTTGTGGTCGGGCCCCTACTGTACGGGATGGCCAATATTCAGCGTGCTCTGTGCTGCCATGTGCTCCGCGTGTGTGGGATGTGTCTGTGGGGTCAACGCATAGGGACGCGCACGTCTCCGTCCTCCTTCTCCGCACCTGACGTCTCGTTGCTCGCACCGATTCTTTCTGTCATTCCATGTACGTTCCAGATTCATTCTGTCCGATCGTTCATTGTTTGGTATTCGACGTTGTGATCTGGATGTTGGTACTTTCTCCTGTTTCGTTTCTCCATTGCTCGGATTTGCTTGTTGATGCTCTGAACATCGCAGCCGCAAACCTCGGCCTCTGGGACTGGAGCTGGGTCCTCAAGGGCGCCTGTGATGGTTGCTTTCGGCTTCAAGCACAAAGGAATGTGTGTGTGTGCGCGTTCAAGAAAAGCTGATGGTTCACTTGTGGCGTGCACCCTGGGCCAGATGGACCGTTCACTCTGGCATGCGACTGTGTAGTTGATACAGTCGATTCTTCGACGTTCGGATCCCTGGTGGGAAATCATCGGCCTCGGTGAACTTCCAAGGCAAGACGAGCCAGAAATTGGTTCCCTTGTGCTGGACATGTGCCGCACTCGAGGAGCACAACGCCCAAGGCTGGGACGCTCCCCAACAGATTCGACGTTGCGTCCGGAGGCTGGCACTTCCAGCAGCCGGCGACCCGGAACACGTGCCGACGCCCGACTGGCAGAGGGTTTCCTGGACGACTACTGCTCGCGGCTGTCCTCCTCTGGCATGCGCGTTGCGTGCAGTGCCGTGGTTGTGACGGTGGCTTCGCTCGGGCGGTCCGTTGTGCAAATGTCAGTCTCGCAGACGGCATCACTGATGGACTGGATCTTGCTTGTCTTGGTTTCACTTTGGTATCAGCGGCGCCCCTTTGCAGACGACATCTACCGCAACGGTGCTTCGCAGGATTGGTGAGCTTGATGTTGATCTGTGGGCAATTATTTTGAGTGCCAGGCGCGCATATCTCTTTGACGGTGCCCTGGGCACTGCTGGATTGCGTCTGCGTGTGTACATGTTGTTGGCCGTTTCTGCCAGTCCATGGCCGTCGTTGAGGTGGCTCGACCACAGCTGTGGCTCGACGTGCCTTGGCCCAGGTGCCGCCTAGCCACCTGAGCGACCTCCCAAAACGGGGTCGTCTGCGCCGACATTGGCGCGTGAGATGCCCGCGTAAGGCCGCGCGTAAACGCCCTCGTTTCCAAAGCGACGCGCCGCGCGGGCGGCCCGAGCCTCGGCGTAAGGCCGCCGTACCATCTCGCGCAAGACCCCTTTCTGATCGTTGCTCGCCTGCCTCTTTCCCTGGCCCCTCTGCTTCTCGGCCCCCTCCTCTTCTCCGCCCGCTCCCGCCCCCCCCCCTTCCGCTCCACATCATTTGTTTTTATATGTCTCGCATAGTTGCCCCACCATGCACACTGGTGTTTTGGAGGCCACGGCCTCCAACATAATCGAGAGAGAGAGGAACAGGGCGAGAGAGGAAAAGGGGTGAGGGAGGAGCAGGTGAGGGAACACGAGGAGAGGGAGAAGGCGAGGAAGGAATGGGAGGAGGAGGAGGAGGATGAGGAGGCGGCCCGGACTGCTGTCCGCCTCCGTCCTCCGAGCATTTTCTTTTGGGTGGAGGGCAAACGCCGAATTTCACAACACAAACTACAGCCTGAAAGCCACCCAACCATAAGACGGATTGGATTTCGAGGTGCACAAGCCCATATGGATGTCACCCTAGGCCGTCCTCCCTAAGAAAATGCATAGGCCCTCCGCCTCCCTCCTGCGGCCAGCAGGCGAAGGAGGCAGGAGAAGGAGGGTGGATCAGCAGATGCCATGTGTACACCACCGCCGCGCCCGGCCAGGGCCACCCTGGGCTCCACGATGGCGCATAGACCCTTCTGGCCTCGGCCGGAGCCGCAGGGTAGCCCCGGAGATTGTTCCGGCGGCGGTCCACACACCTCGCAACGACTTGCTCGAGCTCGTAGTGTGTTCCGGGGAGCGTTTACCTACCCATTCCCAGTGCGCGTGCCCCGAAGCTCTCCAACAAATCCTTCCGAAGTTCTCTCCAGATCCATCCAGAGTGTTATGCCAGGCTTTCCCGCACCATGCCAGGGCCCAGGGCGGCCCTGGCCCTGGCCAGGGCGGGTCGTGGCGTGCAGCTGCCTCGTGCGTGGAGGAGGCCACGCCTCCCTCCTGCCTCCTCTTCCCCTCCGTCCTGCGCCGCCCCTGCTCGGCGCCCCCCTTCGGCCTGCTGCCCTCCCCGGCCCGCGGTCTTCCGGGTTCCTCGCTCGGTGCTCGCCTTCGGTTCGCCCGGCGCGCGCCGGCTCGTTTCTGTCCCCCCCCCCCCCAGCCACCCCCTACCCACCTCCTCCTCCTCCTCCTCTTCCTCCTCCTCCTCCTCCTCCTCTTTTCTTCGGCAGGCCACTGGGCCAGTAAGCTGAGCCTGCATCTGCAGGCAAGCAAGACAGTGCCGCCACGTCGGAGAGGCTGCAGAACAGGCGCGTCACCCGAGCGTGGCCAAGACTGAAGTCAGACACCCCGCTCGAGGATGAGGAAGGGGAGCGGGACAACCAAGTGATATTACGATAAACAGCAATGAAGTAGTACGGAAACAGTGGGAAGGAATCGAGCGGGGAGTGCGCGGCGCCGTCGAAGGTGGCGCTGTCGAGAGAGAACAGGCGGGATAGGCTGCCTGTGACCCCTGGGGCGGGGGCGGTTGGGATGTACTAGCGGGGTATTTCACCCGCCTGCACCTTCCTGTGCCCCCAGCCACCCCACGCCCCAGGGCAGCGCGCCATGCTCCCTCGTCCGCGGGGACTGTAGCGCAGCATTAAGATCGAGCAAGTGTCCGAGCTCGACCTGCCCCTGCAACGCGCCGTGGAGAACTCGAAAACCTGGAACTTGACAAAGCGAACGTCTGAGTCGCGTGGGCGAGCTCGGATCAGCAGGCGCAGCATAGGAAGAGAGAAGGAAGGAGTTGAGCAGGGAGTAGACGGCGCCATCGAAGCTGGCGCTGTCGAGAGAGAACAGGCGGGATAGGCTGCCTGTGACCCCTCGGGCGGGGGCGGCTGGGATGTGCTAGCGGGGTATTTCACCTATCTGCGCCCTCCTGTGCCCCCAGCCACCCCGCGCCCCTGGGCAGCAGACCGCGCCCCCTCGTCCGCGGGGGCCGTGACGCATCATTAAGGTCGGGCAAGCGCCCGATCTCGACCTGCCTCTGGAACGAACCATGCTAAGCACGGGAACCTTGGAAATGTGGAAAACGCACATCTGAGGCATGAGGTCGAGCTCGAGCCAGCAAGCAGAGACTGAGAACGGATATGAGGGGGAATGACATGATGGTGGAGGGAGGTATGAGGCGAGCACGTACCTAGTCTCCTAGGTGTGGGGCGGCTGGGAGGTAGTAGCGGGGCATTTCGCCCGCCTGGGCCGTCCTGTGCCTCCAGCCCCCCCGCCGCCCAGAACAGCGCGCTGCGCTCCCCCGCGCCAAGACCCCCTACTGAACCGCCCCTCCCTCCGTTACCAGGGGTCCGATCCGTGCAGGATGGCCTTCGCCGGCGCGCGATTCATGGCCAGCGGCCAGCAGGCAGCTGCGCCGACTGAGCCTGGTCCGGGTCGGCGGGCAACCGAGCGGCTGCGCGCCCTCTAGGAGACTCTCAGCCTCGCTGCAAAGCTGAGTGTGCCATTCTATCCATGCCAGAGAGATCTTTGCCAGCCAGCGTGGCAGCGTGCGCCGCCCGAACAGGCCGCGTGCATGACCGCGCACGGTCAAGACAGGAAGCAAGCTGAGTGAACACATCATTCTCGCACTGAAAAGCACAGGGGCCTCCGAGGAGGCCAGGCATCTCAAAGATCTTCCAAAACACTTGCAACATATCATTATCACGCTTCACCCCGCCTCGCTTCTCAGACGACAGCTGTATTATCCCAAGAGGATGGTCAGTGTCACGAAGTGTGTTTTGCTGGGCGCATCGCCCACGCCACTAAAGCATTGCGGATGTCAGGTATGAAGCCCAAGTTCCAGAGTAACTGCCGGGACCTTTCCATTAGACATGTCGTCGATCAAATCAGAGAGCT